CGCTTTTATTAAGCAAAGTTTTGCATTCTAAACACTGTTCTGTCACTTAACAATGTTGCCTAAAGATTGTTGTCATTGGAATATAGAGCGCCTGTATAAAATGGCTCAGTTTAGTATGGCAACTGAAAAATTAGCTGTTTTGTGCCAGGTACCATGGTAAGTGCTGAGGATGTCAAGATGAAAAACCATGATCATGGGTAAGAGCTTTTATTTTCACAATCTTAAGTGGAAAATTTTTCTAGAATTTGGCTTTGGGAGGGATTAGATTGCTGCCCCTGGGTACTGCATCCCACTGCTTCCCGTCCATCTGCAATGTGGACTCACTGGCATGGTTGGCCCGCGTTAGCTGGCTTTGTGCATTGGAGTAGCTGGACGCCAGCCCAGGAGTTTCTGGAAGGCTGGGCCCAGCAGTTCTGTGCCCACGCTGGGCCAGAGCACACCGCTGTCTTGCAGGAGAGAAGGGAGTATCAGCCTCTACTCCACAGACTCAGCAGAGGCTTGACTTCATATGTGAGCTGACCTTGAGGCAGGACCAGTCTGACTCAGGGATCCACTTTAAGGTGCTGTCAGGTCTCTGTGGAGCTAATGAATGGAGTAGGGGATCATGGGGGCAAAGGGTAGTCAGACAAATGGAAGGAGAGGCATCTTCATTTGGAACAAAAGCTGTCTGTTTTTAAAGACCCCGTAAATGGTTCAATATTAAAAAAAATTTTTTTTTTAAAAAACCAATTTTTAAAAACACTCTTGGGTTAAAAACATTGACTAAGGATATTTTACATAAATTAAATAGGGGAAGATTTGAAAGGATGTTCTGTATAACTAACATAGAGTTTCTTTTCTGAAGAGAACTTTGGACTTTCGCCTATACCTGACACCTGAGCCATTGTTCTCTGATTAAAGGTGACAATTTTATCTATAGGAAAGTCATAATTCAAGATCAAAAAAGGAGCCCTTTTACGATGTTTTTACAATACCCCACCCTTGTGCCCCCACCCCCCACCATCCAACCACTCCCCAGGAATATCTTCTTTTTTTTTTTTTTTTTTTTTAAGAGGAGTCTCACTCTGTTACCAGGCTGGAGTGCAGTGGCATGATCTCGGCTCACTGCAACCTCTGCCTCCCATGTTCAAGCGATTCTCCTGCCTCAGCTTCCCGAGTAACTGGAACTACAGGCACGCGCCACCATGCCCAGCTAATTCTTGTATTTTTAGTAGAGACAAGGTTTCACCATGCTGGCCAGGCTGGTCTCGAACCCCTGACCTCAGGTGATCTGCCCGCCTTGGCCTCCAAAAGTGCTGGGATTACAGGCATGAACCACCGCGCCCGGCCCCCAGGAATATCTTATATTAAATACAGGAGTTGATAGGCAGGCTTATCTTTCATTCCCACCCACATCCATCCCTCCTCCCCACCCTCTGATCAGCTGGAAAAATTTGGAAAGATGGAAAAGAGATTATTCCAGCACAGGGGAAGGAAGATCACTTGTCAGATTGCTAGGAAAAACATACAATGCTCAGTTAAACTTGAATTTCAGATGTACAACAAATAATTTTTTAGTATGTCTCAAATACTGCATTATTCATTGTTTATCTGAAGTTCACATTTAACTGGGTGTCCTGTACTTTTATTTGCTAAATCTGACAACCCTATTTGGCAAATCTGGGTCACAGGGTATCAGGCCGACTGGAAAAGACAGTCAAGGAATGAAGGATAAGTTTAGATGAAAGGGAAGAGGCCCATGGAGGAGGAGTTGGACTGTATTCTGTAGAAAATGGGGACCAATTGAAGGTGTCAGTTTTTTTTTAAGTAACATTTATTGTGGGATTTTTTTTAAATTGTAAAAGCAAGTATGCTAATTGTACTATATTTGGAAAGTACAGAAAAGTATAAAAGAATATAATTACCCATAATTTCACCAACCAGCAGTAACAACTGTTGACACCTTGCTGTTAACTGCCTGAAAACTGATGCCAGTTTTCACATTCTGAGGCCCATTTTGACAGCTCTATTGAAAACTGGAACCATATCGCCTGTTCTTCATGCCCCCTTTCTGCTTTATTTTTTCCTCCATCATATTTATTTCCTCCTTAAAACCTTAATGTGAAAAAAAAAATACTTCCTCCTAATGTATGATTCATTTGGTTAACTGATTTACTGCCTCGCTCTCAGTGGGTGGGGCTTCTGTCTACTTTATTCACTGTAGTACGAGTGCCTAGAATTATGCCTGACACATAGTAATAAGTATCCATTGTAATGAACAAATAAATTATCCTTCTGGTTTCTTTTCTCTGACTATATATGCTTTTGATTATTTCCTTATGTAACCATAATAGATTTGTTGCCCAACAGGCACAGCAAGTCAGTAAGCTGAAACCTGGTTGCAGCAGAGAAAGAAGTTTAATCGTAGGGCCACCAAATGAGGACATGGAAGGGAACTTCAAATCCATCTCCCCAAAGAATTTGGAGCTAGAGATTTTAAAGATTTTGGAGTGGACCAAAGTGATTGGCTGAAGAGTGCAGGGTGAAGTCATGGGACAAGGAGATGAAGAAGCTGTATTATGCTGAGAAAACAGTTCCTTCGTGGAGGTCTTAAACTAGTTGTCATCATCTGTTCTGCTGAAATTCAGGATCTGCTTAAGCAATTCTTTAAAAAAAATTTTTTTTTAATTTAATAATTTTGTAGAGTTGGGATCTTGCTTTGTTGCCCAGGCTGGTCGCCAACTCCTGACTTCAAGCAATCCTCCTGATTTGGCTGATTCTTATGTCAGAAATCCTACATATAGCAACAACAGGGATATGACTGGTCAGTATCTAGTGTTACGTAACTTTCGGTTTCAAGGAAGTGAGTCAAAGTGCAGCCTGATTAAGGCTTAATTATAACTATATTTCTGTCCAGAATGATTGTTAACCCTGTGAGGATGGCTTCACTTAGGGAAAATTTTTAGACAAGAAATTGCTGAGCCAAAAGGTCTTAGGTGCATTTAAAAATGATTTTGGTATATATTGCCCACATACAGTCCAGAGGGGCTAAACTGGCTCACATTGCAGCTGCAGGATTGTGGAGTGCCTGCACTGAAGTTTGGAATAGAGGGAAGAGGAGATGAGCACGCTCCGTCCAGTAGGAGGTGGAAGGGTCAGGAGACCCCTCGTGAAGAGCTGGAAACTCAGATCTGGGGTTGGGGGGATGGAAGGTGGGCTCTGCAGTGATATGGGAGTTCATCTGTGTGTTCTTTTGCCAGGACCTCCATAACAAAGTACCACAGGCTGAGTGGCTCTAGCAGCGGCAATTTATTTTCTCAAAGTTCTGGAGGCTGAAAGTCCAAGATCAAGGTTGTTGCTTGTGAGGTCTCTCTCCTTGGCTTGCAGACGGCCGTCTACTCACTGTGTCCTCACAAGGTCTTTCCTCACATGGAGCATCCCTGGCGCCTCTCCGTGTGTCCAAATCTCTTCTTATGAAGACACCAGTCAGATTAGACAAAGGCCCACTCTGATGGGCTTATTTTAACCCTAAGGACTAAACTCTGACTTTTTTCCTTCTCTGGCCCAAATTTCTACCTAAGCGGCCTGGGGAGTCATGCCCTACAAACGGTAAAGTTTCATCAGAGGGGTTTTATTTAACCCTATATAATGTGGCCTACTTTCCAAACTGGCTCTGGCATAACATAACAAATAAGGAAAGAAATCAAAACATTTTAACCCCAAATATATTTCCTTGCCATATCTTGAAATTGCCCTGCAAAGTCGTCTCTCGTGGGGGAAAAATCTACATTCTGTAGAGAATCCCCTTTTCCCTCTTCTCAGGTCCAGGAGATAATCAACTAAGAGTCTGGCACCCTTTTTGAGTCTAATAAAAACCATTTACAATCTATTCTCTCTGAAGCCTGCTACCTGAAGGCTTCCTCTGCACATTAAGAACTTTGGGCCAGGCGTGGTGGCTCACACCTGTAATCCCAGTACTTTGGGAGGCCAAGGTGGGCAGATCATGAGGTCAGGAGATAGAGACCATCTTGGCTAACGGGGTGAAACCCTGTCTCTACTAAAAATACAAAAACGTTAGCTGAGCTCTGTGGCAGGCACCTGTAGTCCCAGCTACTCGGGAGGCTGAGGCAGGAGAATGGTGTGAACCAGGGAGGCTGAGCATGCAGTGAGCCAAGATTGCGCCACTGCACTCCAGCCTGGGCAACAGAGCAAGACTCTGTCTCAAAAAAATAAATAAATAAATACATACATAAATAAATACATAAATAAAAATAATAAAACAACTTTGGTCTTGGCTGGGCGCAGTGGCTCACGCCTGTAATCCCAGCACTTTGGTAGGCCAAGGCAAACGGATCACCTGAGGTTCGGAGTTTGAGACCAGCCTGACCAACATGGAGAAATTCCATCTCTACTAAAAATACAAAAAAATTACCCGGGCGAGGTGGCGCATGCCTGTAATCCCAGCTACTCAGGAGGCTAAGGCAGGAGAATCGCTTGAACCCGGGAGGCAGAGGTTGCGGTGAACCGAGATCGCGTCATTGCTCTCCAGCATGGGCAACAAGAGTGAGACTCTGTCTCAAAAAAAAAAAAAAAAAAAGGAAAGAAAAAGAAAAATAACTTTGGTCTCTTTGGGAGGTTGAGGCAGATGGATCACAAGGTCAGGAGTTCAAGACCTGCCTGGCCAATATGGTGAAACCCTGTCTCTACTAAAAAATACAAAAATTAGCCGGGCGTGGTAGCACATGCCTGTAGTCCCAGCTACTCGGGAGGCTGAGGCAGAAGAATCGCTGGAACCTGGGAGGCGGAGGTTGCAGTGAGTCAAGATCATGCCATTGCACTCCAGTCTGGGCAACAAAGTGAGACCTAATCTCAAAAAAAGAAAAAAAAAAAAAGAACTTTTCTTTCCACAGTTCTTTTTTTTTTTTTTTTTAATTATGGCACTGAACACCAATGCCAATACTTATCTCATTATGGTTATAACGAAGGATATTATTAATATTTGTGTTATTTTTCTCTGGAACATAAATCAATGCCATTAACTTGAACTTGAGGTATATACACAATACACACACAACCTTAAGCAAAATACTTTTCATAAGTAACATTACATTTTAAAATATTGGAAACTGAATATCTGTGCTGATTTGTACTTTGACTTAATGGAACAAGAAGAAAACAACATTCAACTAGGGAGGGTTATACTGATAATAAAGCTCTTAAAATTCAAAATGTCTTCCTCTCCCTTTGTACTTACCACAGGCTACACAATGTCCTGAGAGGATTCATTATGAGAAAAATGTCAATCACAGCTTTAATAACTTACTTTGGAAAAAACTAATAAGAAAGTAAATTGGAAGGTGAGACTTCATCTTTGTTTTCAAATAAGTGGTCTTAATTTTTCTTCTTATAGAAAAAGTTTAAATCAGTTTATTATAAATATATCTAAACCATTAATTTTTGCAGCTTTCAGGTAAAGTCCAGCACTTCATTTATACAAAGTCTATGAGAAGAGGTCAGTAGAGATCATCTAATCTTAAGTCGTGACATCATTCAAGTCCTTGGTACAATCCCTCGCCAGTTAGAGCACAGCATGCCTGGATATGCCACTGGTGATCTTTAATAGAAGTTAGCTTCAAAAACTGGGAGATTTCTGCTACAGTCATGCATTCTTTAACATCTTGTTTATTAGCAAAAATCAGCAATCCAGCTTTTCTTGGGTCCTCTGTGTTAGTATAGTAAGTGTTCCAGGAAGAACGAAGAGATTCTTGGCCACCAATATCCCACATTAGGAAACGTGTATTATTAATCACTATCTCTTCTACATTACTTCCTATTGTAGGAGATGTATGTACAACTTCATTCATAGAAAATTGGTAAAGAATGGTAGTTTTCCCTGCATTATCCAGCCCAACAATGATAACTTTGTGCTCCTGGTGATTGAACAGTCTCCATATTCTGGTGAAGAGAATTCCCATTCTCGGACAGCAGACCCCCCCCCTCCAGACACCCGGGCCGCCTGGCTTCCCCTGGCTCAGGCTGAAGGGGAGGAGAGAGACGCGTTGGAGCCTCCGCCTCTGCTGCTGCTCCCGCGCTGGTCGCGGGCCCGCTTCCAGGGAACCGGAGGGAGGCCGAAGCCCAGGCCGCCCCGCCGCGTGCAAGGCCCCGCCGCTGCCGCCGCGGCACTCGCGTGGCTCGCGGACATCGCCGCCGCGTTGTCTGCGACGAGCCTCGCGGGCCACCGTCCTCCCCCAGTTCCTCTCGGGCGGCTGCGGAGGCGACGACCACGCGGGCGGGGGACCACAGTTCTTTATCTCAACCAAGACATTTCCTTTCCATTGATCCCAGGTCTTTAGATAAACTCAACCAATTGTCAACCAGAAAATGTTTAAATCTACCTGTAACCTGGAAGCCCCCTACTTTGAGTCCTCCTGCCTTTCTGAACCTAACCAATATACGTCTTAAATGTACTTGATTGATGCCTCAGGTCTCCCAAAAATGTATGCCACCAGGCTGTGCCCTAACCACCTCCAGCACATGGTCTCGGGATCTCCTAAGAGCTGTGTCATGGGCCATGGTCACCCATATTTGGCTCAAAATACATCTCTTTGAATATTTTATAGAGTTTGACTCTTGTCAACAATTTAATCATCTTTTAAAGGCTCTATTTCCAAATATAGTCACATTTTGAGGTTCTTGGAGTAAGGGCTTCATCATACAAGTTGGGAGGAGTGGGTGAGAGAGGGACACAATTCAGCCGGCGGAAATCTGCATAGAGGTGTTGAGACCATGGGAGAGACAGACATCCCCTACAAACCTCCCCGCATCTGGAAGGCAGCACTCTGTACTCCTGAGTCTCTCAGGGTCAACCAGATCCTCCTCCATGCCTCCTGAAATGGGATTTCAAAGCTGCTTGCCATCCAAGTGCCCTCCTCTCAAGGCAGTCCAGTTTGCGGGTACCTTTATTAAAATGTGGTTCCCAGAGTGAGTTACCAAGACGTCTGTGTTAGGCTCTGGGCACAGTACTTCTGTGGTACAAGAATATGACATAGTCTGATGTGTTCTGATAGGGGCGTTTAGATCCTCAAACCCAAGCATATTTTTATTTCTTCTTGCCACTTTTCTCTCAACTACTTTTCTCTGATGTCACTTATCGTAGAAGCAGCATAACCATAGCAAATGCCTGGGTAGCGTGGCCTAGCCAAGTTGACGTATAAAATTAACCATTCCACAGGCTAATCCAATAATTTAAATAATCTAGATAACTGAGTCAAGCGAAGGCCAGGTCTTTTCAGCTTCTTCCCCCTGCCCTTGCTCCTAAGTTGGAGTCACGGTGTTAGGAGGACTGCAGTTTCTCATGGCAGAGGGAAAGGAGTGAGACCACGATGAGGTTCTTCCATTTGCACTGGCACAACAGCCCTTAAACTATCTCCGGATTTATGCTTCTATGTTTTAATGCGTTTCTCTAAGGAAGAAAGGGAGCTTTACATTTTGTTGGGATTTTTAATCTCATGACTGATCCTTTGGTTGAGCAATTCAGCCCAGTGTTATATTGACTGCTATATATATATGTTATATTGACTGACCTTTGTTGCTCCATTTATTTTTATGGCCCTCCAATTATTTATTTATTTATTTATTTATTTATTTATTTATTTATTTATTTATTTATTTTTTGCTTTCGGTTTGCCTGTATATAATCTCTATAGAAAACTTTAAACTTATTTTTTAACGAGATGATATACATGCAAACAGAAAGCAAACATTTTAATCATTCCAGTATTTTAAATAGAACTGTTTTCACGGCTAAGTGCAGTGACTCATGCCTGTAATCCCAGCACTTTGAGAGGCCAAGGTGGGCTGATCACTGGAGGTTAGGAGTTCAACACCAGCCTGATCAACATGGTGAAACCCTATCTCTACTAAAAATACAAAAATTAGCCGGGCATGGTGACACACCCCTGTAATCCCAGCTACTTGGGAGGCTGAGGCAGGAGAATCGCTTGAACCTGGCGGGCGGAGGTTGTAGTGAGCCAAGATCACATTATTGCACTCCAGCCTGGGCAACCAAAGCAAAACTCTGTCAAAAAAAAAAAAAAAAAAAGAAAGAAAGAAAGAAAGAAAGAAAGAAAGAAAGAAAGAAAGAAAGAAAGAAAGAAAGAAAAGCCCTGTTTTTACTACCTCCAGTTTCGAATTTCTATTTTTAACTAAATAAAATCTAGCTTTCTCGTTGGGAGACTGGTTATAGGGTATCTCTGTGTAAGCTGTCCCTTGACTTCATTCCGACCCACCGTCCCTGACTTATCTTGAAGCCTAAAAACACTTTTGAAATCCCGTGTGCATTTTACTTTTCTTATAGTATTCTTTCTAGTCACACTTCGAATGCACTTTAAGTCATTTGCCTTGAGGCTTTCGAAAAAGATAGTGCCCATCACACTCCAACCAGCAACGTATGAAGTGTCCCATTTTTCCACATCCTCATCAGCTCGGGACATTTTTGAAAAATTTCGCCAATCTGATGAGTACAAAGTTTCTCTCATTTTTGTATTTATATCCACTATTTGTATTTTCCTGAGTAGTAGGGAAGGAGTTGAACTTTTTCTTAATTTTAGAATTTATTTTAGAATGCCTTTGAATTTCTATTTCTATTTCTATCCATTGTTCATTTTCTACAGTTTTCCTGTTTTAACTAAAATATTTTATTTTGGAAAAACTTAATATAGAAAATAATAGAAAATCATATAACAAGCACCTTATAACCACAACCTAGAATTAACAAACATTTTGCTATGTTTGCCTCAGATTTTAGAAAATTAAATATTACAGATAAATTTGAGGTTCCCTCTGTCCATTTAGTTTTCTTCTTAGTTCCATTGCTCTCTCTCTCTCTTTCCTCCCAGAAGCAAATACTGCCATAAATTTAGTATGTATCCTTTCAGACCTTGTGTTTAAACTTCTATCACACATATGGAAACTGTAGACTATATGAATTATTGTGTGTTTCTAAGTGTATGTAAATCATTGCATACTCATTACTGTTTTGAGACCTAGCCATAGAACTACATACAGATCACTGGTTTTCCCCCGAGGTTTTGTCCCCCAGGGACATTTGCTCATGCTTGGAGACATTTTTGTTTGCCCCAACTGGGGGATGGGAGTGCTCCTGGAATCTAGTGGTAGAGGCCAGGGATGCTGGTAAACATCCTACAGTGCACAGGAGCACCCCACACCAAAGAATTCTCCAGCCTAAAATGTCAACAGTGCTGTAATTGAAAAACCCTGATATAGTATTTATTCAATATTTTGCTTTTATAAACAATACTACACTTAACACTGTTACATGCATCTCTGAGTGCCCATGTGCAAAGTTTTCTCTAGAGGGGCCGAATCACACAGGGTGTAAGAAGGCTCTAGAGGCTACCTGGGTTCAAGTCTCCAGTCCACTATTTACTTGCTGAATGACCTTTGGGGCAAATTACTTAAACTCTCTTGACCTCCATTGACTTGTCCTCAAAATGGGAATAATAATACTTCCCTATATAAATGAGTTAATATGCAAAATGCTTGGGACTGTGCCTGGCACATGGTAAGCATTCAAGAAATTTTAGCTTTTATTTACTGGTAGTCGTATTTTCATCATCATCATTATCATTACATAACCTTGAAATGAAAGTACACCGTTTAAATTCTACTAAATATTTTTAAATTACTGTAATTTATACTCTCACCAGTAGGGTATAGGAGTACCTATTTCTCTATGTCCTTGGCTATATTTGATATTCCAGACTTAAGATATAAAATGATATGTTATTTTATTTTAATTGGCATTTTCTTTTCTTTTCTTTTCTTTTTTTTTTTAAGAAAAGGTCTTGCTCTGTTACTCAAACTGGAGTGCAGTAGGGCAGCTAAAGTGCAGTGGCATGATCACGGCTCACTGCAGACCAGGCATGATCATGGCTCACCCAATCCTCCTGCATCAGCCTTCCAAGTAGCTGGGACTGTGGGTGCGTGCCACCATGCCTGGCTAACTTTTGTATTCTTTGTAGAGACAGGGTTTCACCATGTTGTTCAGGCTGCTCTTGAACTCCTGCCCTCGAGAAATCTGCCTGCCTTGGCCTCACAAATTGCTGGGATTATAGGCACGAGCCAATGAGCTCAGCGTGCATTTTCAAGATTGCTGTTTTCATATACTTAGTGGTTAATTGGTTTTATTGCTTTGCAAATTTCCATTTCATTCTCTGTCCATTTTTTTGATTTACTATTTAATAAAAACATAATGTAAAAAGTACTAAAAAAAGAAAAAAAAATGTATTTATACAATTAAAAATTCACAACATGTAATATATCATTCAAAGAAAAGCCTCTCTTCCACCCCTGTTCCCCGGCTAGTCAGTCCCTCTCCTTAGAGACAATCATTGTTAGTTATTAGATTCTTATCCTTCCAGAAAGAACTTATATGGATATTCAAGAAAATAAGTATATTTTTTCTACCCAAATGGTAGCATAGTACATGCATTTTTCTGCATTATTTGTTTTTTTCTTTCTTCACGTAACCACGTATCTTGGTCATATTTTCCATTTGTAAATGAAGAACTCCCTGATTCTTTTTTATTTCTATTCAATTATAAAACTGGGCTATAATTTATTTAAACATTTCCATACTGATGTACATTTAGGTTGTTTTCTAATATTTTGCTAATGCAAATATTACCACAAAGTCCAAAATAAATTTATATGTGTGAGTATATCTGTAGACGATTCCCAGAGGTGGAATTTCTGGGATAAAGGGAACGAGCATTTGTAGTTTTGAAACATATCACATTATTTTCCTCCATAGACATGCTACCAATTCCCATTGGGCCAGAAACGTGAACCCTGAGGCCAGGGAAGCTTCTGTAGCTGGAATCCTGACGCAGGGAGGCTTGTGTAACATGGTGGGGCTGTTTAGTCTGACAACTGAGCTGCCTCTAGCCTTCACTGGCCTCTGAAAAGGTGTCTCATCCCATTAGTTTTGGCAGGTCCCCTCCAGATCTGTGCACCTGCTGCTGCATGGCTCTGTGTCTACTTTCTTGTGTGTGACAGCTGTCTCATGCGCATGAGAGCTCTGCATCATTTCCTGTTCTATGGCTAATTTTTATAAACTCTATGCCTCAGAATTGGCTTGGAAGTCCTTTGGAACTAACAGAGTACCAACTCTCTCAAGACCCTAACCCTCGCAAATTGGAGGCTTTGGTTTCAGACCACTGAGCCTACTAAGAGTTTAAGAT